TTGTGTCCGTTACATTATTTTTGGGCTTGATTCCCAGACACGTATTTTTACTTATCTTTATTATAGCCGCGAATCGACTCGTATTTTTACAGTTGGCCTTCAGCCGTTTGCGGCTCGTATATCTGTAACATAAACGTCGATAGCCGGAGCCGTGGCATCGTCATAAATGTTTACAATCGACCTTCGATCGTGTATCTCCATGGCTCGTTTACTTCGTAGCCGCTGTTCGGCACGTACGCACAACGGCGTCACACGGAACGCTCTTCGAGGAAGAAACTCGCATCAGTCGATGTGTAGTAACGAAGATAATGGTCATTTTCAATCCCGACTCGCCGAGGATTCCGTTCTCTCTCTCCCTCTTTCTCCGAGAGATCGCGCGTCTCGAGATTCAACGAAAACCGATGCGATGTCATTCTTTATCTCGGAAGATCATCTTACGTTAACAGAGGTTGCATTACGTCGTTGTCGACACATACGTCGTCCTTCGTTCGTTTGCGAATGCGTTGAACAATTTCGTCATATACACATGGACTGCTAACTCTGGTGCTTTCCAGCAAGCGACACAGTGATCATGTCATTTTTGTTTAGTTGTTGTTTTTGTTTAGAGGTTGGGTACTTTCCAGCAAGAGATACAAATTATACAATGTAACACAGTGAATCATTACATCCTTGTTGTTTAACATTGACAAACAACAAGGATGTAATGATTCACTGTGTTACATTGTATAATTTGTATCTCTTGCTGGAAAGTACCCAACCTCTCCCACTTTTTATCATATATGCAATGTTTTGAACTTGGTCTTCGTTGGCGGAAGAGAATGTATAAGAGAAGAAAAATGCTTTGAATTGAAATGAAAATGTCGCTGTCTATGTTACTCAAAACGTGAAAAGAAAGATGAAACTGTTCGTTTTCAACTTGATAAGTTAAGCTCATAAATGGATTGCGCTTTGATCTTCTATGCTTCATTAGAAGAAATTAAATATATTAACATCTCTCTTCAATTTGAGAGATACTTGGAGAGACAGAATTGTTATTTATTTATGCGCTCTGAGATCACATCTCCTTAAGCATCAAGCATAACATATACTATCTACATACATGTAGTTAAGTTACAGCCATATTATGAAATATAGAAATAGAAGTTTTATAAAGAAAGAAAAAAGTTAGAATAATAAAATAAGTAGATACTAAAAAACATAAAATATGATACTTTATATAAATGAAACTAGAAAACTGTGACTACTATATTCACATATCTTTATGAACAAGTATTTAAAAAATTTACTTTAAATTTTAAAGAGAGAGAAAGATTTATGTATGATTTAAGTTATCTTATTCTTTCTAACAGTGACTAACCGATAGTGACAACTTCATAGAAATGCGCAGTCTATTCTATTACGTCTGTGATTAGATCATGTGAATTCAAATCATCTTAGTAAAACGATAGATGCATATTTTTGACGTATTTTAAATACGAGATTTTTTTCTGTTATTGATTTATCTTCACTTATGCATTTACTTATCCATGTATATATGATCGAAGATTGAACTCGATTTTTGATTCTATGCCATTCGTTCGGCAATGAAGCTAGTAATGCACCAGCTCATTTGTTTCGAAAACGATGTGACCCCGATAAAGACCGAAGTATTACGAGGTCCCTTTATCTGTCATTATATATATATAATTTTTTTGTTTAAATAAAATTCGAATTGCCAACGAGATAAATAGAAAAGAATGATCAGCATAGGTGACATCGTTTGCCGCGGGAGGATCGCCTTTATGGCGCCGCGTTAGACTTTTAATTAAAAGCCTCGTTCGCCGCCACCTCGGCATTATCATCGCGCGTTCCTGCGTCCGTCTACCAATTTTACTTCTCATTTACGGAATATACCAACGAGCGGCACTCGTAATCGTGAGTAATATCCACGTTGCAATTACTCTGCCTGTCATTCAGCGTCTCACCTCCCGCGGTACATCTCATCTAATTATCTATCGACAAATAATCGTTACTGTGTCAATCGTTATTAGCATAAAACACAGCAGCTGTAATCACGTGTATTAATTGCGTCAATGCGCATTTGCGCTATTAGAATTTTTTTTTCAATCGCGCGTGCATACGAAGAAAAATGATTTTGCTGAGGTATTTAAAAATTTATGTAGATATACTGAAAAAAAAAATCTTAATTTCAAAGAAATATCTCTATTATATAAATACATTAATATAAATATAATATCTTACTTCTTTGAAGTATATCTTATTTTCAATATGAATATTTTATTTTCAAAGAAATTTTCATTGATTCAAAGAAATAATTTTTTTTAATACGATCAAAAAAATATTTTTTTGGAATTAAGAATTTTTTTTCAGTGTGTAGATATAAATTTAAAGATAACTTCGTTAGATCATCAGAATAATTATATAAAAAATTCATGTGATAAAGAGTGATGCTACGTAAAGTTTGGACAGTCTAGCAACCATCTCGAGCATCCTACATCATTGTTTTGATCCACACTGAGAGAAAACGAAATAGTTACAGCAATTATAAATTATTAATATTATAAATTTGGGACACTGAAAAAAATGATTTAGTTGAAAATGGACCAGAAGATTCTGATTAAATCAATTAGAATTCCGGTTATCTCTCTCTCTCTCTCTCTCTATCTCTCTCTCTCTCTCTCTCTCTCAATTAGAATTTTTAGATACTTTATAGGCGTATTCATTTCAATTAGAGGAAAAGTGAGTAAAAATTTATCTTCACAAACTTGTTGAAATACATATATTAAAGTCAATCTTTAAGAATCTTCAACAAACTTTTTTACTAATAATAAGTGAATGTATTGATCAATGAGTGTTTAATTTTTCGTCATAAAAATGATTTTCATAATTTTCATAATAGTTCTTGGCAAAATTAGAGGAGGATCAAGTACATCTCCTTATATTTCCTCCTTTGTATTTCAATAAAACCATTTTTTTTTTATGAACGAGGATCCAGAATTCTTATCGGTGATCTCTGTGTGTCAATCTCTCCCCTCTAAATATTTAAGATTAAAATATTTTAAATTATATTCTTATCTCGGACACGCGTAACCGTTGTTTTCCGTTCAGAGCGAGAGCCACTGGCTAATTCATCGGCAAGCTAGCGCGACGATGCGTCGTGCACACGCCGACGCGTTGCACTTGCGTCGCGTCGCGTCGCGTCGCCGCTCGATCGCATCGCCAACCGTATCCCCCGGTCATGCGACAATGACGCTCACGGAGCGATTGGATGAGCACCACTGGGACGGATTTGTAGTAAGTGTAAGCAGAGCGGTACAGATGCGTCCGTCGCCGCGTCGCCGCGCGCGCGCGCGCCACCCGCTTCCGCGCGATCCCCCCGCGCGCTGTTGAATCCCGGCGCGCACCGCGAAGCCGTGATGACGCAACGGCCGAAGTGGAGGAGGTTGGATGTGTACGGGCAACGTGTCGCGCGAATGCGCCTGTGTAAAGACTCCGGTACGGCCAGCTGCACGGGAGGCCGCCTTTAAGTCGCTCTTGCGACTACGTCGCTTCCCGCGCGTCGTTATACTTTTCCTTTTTCTTCTTTTCTTTTCTTTTCTTTTTTTTTTTTTAGTTTGCCAATGCGGTTTAAAGACTTCTTAAAGATGATGTTACGTTCACGGAGATCGAGTAAAGTACATCTTTGTTTGCTTTTTTAAATAATTGTGCATCATGACTGTGCAGTTTTCATCCTAGAATCAACTATCTTTTGTAAACATTACTTTACAACAATAATTGAAAAAGCTGTAATAAAAATGAGTGAAAAAAATTACTTTGAGAGCTTGATTATTAATAATTAATTCACGATTGTTTGAATTTGAATGACTTGAAGGACGTTGCGTTGTACGTCAGCGAATTCGTTTTTGTCAACTAAAAATTATAATCTAAGTCGCTTTCTGACATCGCAAAAATATTGTCATAATTAGAAACATGCTTAAAGAATGTTAGAAACGTACGTAACGATAATTTAAGCGTTCCTAGTACACCGACTGTTTCGCAGCGTGTACTATCAGTGCGATATACACCGGTCGTACGCAGTTACGGTACACCCACGGTGGTTGAAGCGAGGAGAGAGGGGTCCCGGGGTGAAGAGACGGAACTAAGGTTCGTTCTAGAAGTCGTAGAGTCGGGCAGCATCGGGCAGACGGCCGGCGGCGTGGCGTGGCGTGGCGTGGCGTGGCGTGGCGTGGCGTGGCGTGGCGTGGTGTGGCTTG